GGGGGGGGGGGGTTCAGGTGGGTCTTGGGTTCCAGGGATTAGAGGTTAATTAACCCTAGCAAAGTCCCTTTTCTTCTTATCTTTAAAATCTTGGGTTTATGATCTCTAAGCCCCTTTTGTGAATAATTTTTAAAAAGCCTTTCTGTACAACTTTGGGAACATTTTGATGACTGACTGTGAAGAATGTTGCATATTGAAGCACAGTTTTTCAAATTAAATTTTTGCAGGTACCAATAATAAAACTCACAGACCAGGAGACTGAGGTTAAAGTTGACATCAGCTTCAACATGGAGACTGGGGTTCGGGCAGCGGAGTTCATCAAGAATTATATGAAGGTGCTGCCATCAGCAAGTTAACACAATAAAAATCAGGGACTTAAGATGTTATGTTGGATATTGTTTCTTTTATAGGTGTTAAAAACTTTAAACTGACTGTCTATGGTAACAGAGACTGTACAGTTGAATTACGTATCCTACGATATTATTTCTAGGGAAATAATATTGAATAATAACTTTGAAACTACATAGCTGTTTTTCACATTTACTTTCCTTGAGTAATCATTTCATAAACTTGAATATTGTTTTAGAGGGCTTTGGGAAATGTTCTTTCTGGTAATTACAAAATGACCATCCCTCTAGCTCTGTGTGCCTGATTTGCAATCGAGTCCAGGGGCCCACTGGACGGTGAATGCATCAGGATGCACTTTAGATTTACTTACTTGATCTCGAGCATGAGGATGGCAGAGCAGATTTGTTTATTGAGGGGACCGATTTTGGACTCTGACCAGTTAAACAGATGGTCTTTCCTTCTGTTACAGTGGAAGTGGTGACATCCTTGATAGAGGCCACCCTATCACCTGTAGTCTGGGTACTGCCTTTTCCCACAGTCAGGGACCTTGCTCTTTCTGTTTTCCTTTTCCTCTACATCACGTCTTCTCTGAAGGCTCATTTCTACCCCAGCAGACATGGAAACAACAGAAGTTTCCGCTGTCCCCCACCTCTTCTCACGTCTGCATTTCCTTGTTACTTACCTTCACCCTGCTCTCTCCTCAGACTGGCTATTCATCCTGCTGTTGTCCCCTAACTCATGAATTGTCCTCCTCCACCCCTTGCTTTTCTCTGAGTGCCTCTGAGTGTTGGAGGTTCTAACATTGGTTCCAGGCCCTTCCCTCGCTCACTGTCACATCCCTCCCTTCACCTGCACAGCCCTCCACCTGGCAGCAAGCCCTGGGAAGTATTTGAAGGAATGCCCTCATTTATCCCTTGAGTTTCTCTTTGTGCAGGGTGTCCCACTTGGTAACCTGGGAGGAGCTCCCCAGTGGGATCTTAAATGAGCATTGATTAGCCTCGATCTTTCCAAGGGGCAGGAGGATGCAGGAAGGTTTCTTTTCTACCATGTAGAATTTGCTGCGAGAAGTCTTCAAAGGTATATGAACTAACCAGTAAATATTTTTCTTTTGGAATTTACAGAAATATTCATTGCTGCCTTACTTGATTTTAGTATTGAAACAGTTCCTCCTGCAGAGGGACCTGAATGAAGTTTTTACCGGTGGAATTAGCTCGTACAGCCTGATTTTAATGGCCATTAGCTTTCTACAGGTGAGTGTGCCTTCTCTCCAGTAGGAAGCAGATTCTTCCTCTGTGGGTGTTCTGACCAGTTGCTGTGTGGGTCCCAGCTGTCCCTTCTCTCCCTTCACTACTCTGTTTTGGTTTAGAAGAGATTGACTTATAGTTTTTAGTAAAACCCTATTTTGATAGATACTTCTTTTCTATTGTTTCTTTATAGCTTATTTTGTAGCTGATTTAACTGTTAGAGGAGGGAGGGCTTATCTGGTTGTCAGTTGAATGTATGTCCATCTAAACTCAAAAACACCTGTATTTTTATTTATCATTTATTTACTTATTTATTAAATATATTTTTATTGATTTCAGAGAGAGGAAGGGAGAGGGAGAGAGAGAGTTGAAACATCAATGATGAGAGAGTCATTGATCGGCTGCCTCCTGCACGCCCCCAACTGGGGATGGAGCCCGCAACCCGGGCATGTGCCCTGACCAGGAATTGAACCTTGATCGCCTGGATTCTAGGTTGATGCTCAACTGCTGAGCCATGCCCTACCAGGCAGGGAAATACCTTTACATTTAAAAAACTTTAATACCTTGATAGACAATTAAAAAAACAAATTTTTCTTGGTGTTAGAATCTCAGAAAAAAGTTTGATACCATATATGGTAAAAAATATTGAAAGAGGCTTTTTTTTTTCCCCAGATTGGCAAACCTTCAATATTGCCCTTATCTTGTTGAGTATCATGGGAAAGTCTGTCAGTGGAAAACCTGCCTAAGTGTTAAATGCTATGGTGTACTGATACACTATACTCATAATTATTTTTTATAAAATAGTCTCTAAGTTAATTGAAACATTATCTCATTTATATTTTCTTGAATGAAGGATTCTGTGCTTTACAAAATCTTGCCTATGTATTTTAGCTGTACAACACTTTTCTTCCAGGTTTTATTATTAATTTTGTATTTGGGATTGTGCTTAGTGAGGGTTTTATGTCCAGAATTTGGTCATTTTCTCATTATCAGGAATATTGCTAGTGGTCAGTACAACTCCTGGTTACAGTGCCTTCAATTATTTTGACTTCCTTGGCCTGTCTGTGCAGAGATGCTTTAAGAATGGGGAAAATGGAATCCCATGTGTTTCCTTACAGTTTTAATCCTGTTGCCTTGTCTTCACTCTCACCTTCACAATGCTGCCTTTACAGTCACGCTTCCCTAGTTTTTGGACATGATTTGAAGTAAACACAACCTTCTCTTCTTATTTTCTCATGTATTCCTGGTAGGAATTATTTTAGTAGCCTTGTAATAATGACAACTCCTTACTTACATTGCACTGGGCTAAGTGCCTTTTGTTGAATTACCCCATGGGATCCTTGTAGCGCCCCTGTGACCCCAGGAGCCTTGCCTAGCATGGGTGGGATTGCCTTTGTCTCCTCCACATTCCTTAGTGTCTTGCCCCTCCTGCCTCAAAGCATCTGAATTCATTTCATGGCTAATTGAGATAAGAAGACCCAACCTTGCCCTGTGTAGTTCTTGGGTATTTGATTTTGACTACAAGGCAAGGAGTAAGGAAGGGAGTAAGGTAGAAAAAATAAGAATGCTACACTTGTGTCTTTGGAACATGCAAATCCCTAGAAGTCTAAGTTCTAAACCCTAAAAGTACTTTTAGTATTCCTCATGGAGGTCTGTGTTGTAAACTGTGTTTCTATCAGGACTCTTACTTTCATGTGCTGTCATTGTAACTCTGCAGCTGGTTGTGTTCCCAGTCTGTACAGTGCAGCAAGATAGCCATGGGCCAGTGGGCCACAGATGCCTACTGAGCACTGGCCACATGGCTACTAAGACCGACAAATGGAATTTTTTATTTGTCTTAATTTATTTAAATATAAATAGCCACATGTGGCTCATGGCTATCCTCATGGGCAGCACAGGCCTGCATTGCTCAGATTTGATCTCTTAAATCGGTGACTCAGGAGGGTTTCAGTAGACAGAAGCTTAAGTTCAAAAGAAGTCCATTACCCACTTAAAGAAATTGTGGCACTGAACTGAGACTAACACTAATCTCTATGACAAGTTTGCTATAAATATTATGATACAATACTAATTACTTATACATAGTTAAAATTAATCCTTTCACATTCTGGTTTTCTGTAATACTCTTCAGTCTAATACTGCCCCCTTTTGGTTGTATTTTGGAACAATGGAATTAAGATTAGAGTCTGTAAAATTACTTCCACTATCTAGATCAGTGATTTTCAAACTTTTGCATCTCATGGTACATATAAACTAACTACTAAAATTCTGCAACACGAAAAAATATATTTTTTGCCAATCTGACCAAAAAAGATAGGTGTAATTTTGACTCATTCATACTGGATAGCTGTTGTTGTATTGGCTGTTGACATGTTTTTATTTGACAGTTTGAGGGAAAAGAGGTCGGTGCCCCTGACTAAATAGTCAGGTATTGCATGTTTTAAAAATTCTGCAGCACATCTGTTGAAAATTGCTGATCTAGATGACTAAATTGTGCAGAATATGGCCTGCTTACTATCAGTAGTTGGGAACTTGTGGTTAATCAGATGTCTGTGTGTGTAGGAAGCTGCTGTATAGCTTACCAATTTCAAAGAATTAAAATATAATAAAAACATTCAGGCAGAAGGTTTTCTTTCTTTTGAACTCTTTACTGGGAAAGGCTCTCCAGGCTGTTAGGGCCTTTCACAGCTGCTCTGAGCATCCCAATGCTGGTGTGTGAGTTAGTGCTGCTGAGGGCGGTTCGTAGAAGAGACCACTAGGTAGCAGCCTTCATCGCATGCAGTCTTCTTTAGAAATGACTTGAATCCCTTGCTTTTACAGTTGCATCCAAGAATTGATGCCCGGAGAGCTGATGAAAACCTTGGAATGCTTCTTGTAGAATTTTTTGAACTCTATGGAAGAAATTTTAATTACTTGAAAACTGGTATTAGAATAAAAGAAGGAGGTGCCTATATTGCCAAAGAAGAGATCATGAAAGCCATGACCAGTGGGTACAGACCATCAATGCTGTGCATTGAGGACCCCCTGCTGCCTGGTAAGGGTGCCTCGCTCTGCATTCACCACAAGTGATGTGGGAGCATCCCTTCCCTAGTGCACCAGTGTTGTGGTAGTAGTGGTGGTGCAGGCGGTGGTGGAGGATCCTCAGGCCCTGCGAGCCACAGGCAGTTCAGTGGACCTGAAGCATACTCCTACTGTCCTAACAGTTAATAGTGACAATTTACAATTCCTTGTTTAATGCTTCTAATTACTTATTGCAAAGTTGCAATTTTGTTTACATTCTGTAGTCAATCAGAAAAAATGTAGAAGGTGAGAATTAAGAAAAAAGTTTATTTTTTTATTACAAAGCTATTACATATTTATCATAAATCATTTCATTTCCAGAGGTGTGTAATAGAGAAAAACAAAGTATGCCATAATCCCCTCCCATTTTGATGTGTATTTCTCCCATTTTTTTCCCTACATGGACATTAACATTGATTATTGCAGCTTTATTAATTAAATGAAATCAGATAATACAAACAGGTTTTCCACTTCGTTTTTACTTAAAAGTATATCCAAGACACCTTTTTTTAATGTGTGTAGGGTGTGTTCCGTAACAAGGATTGCCACCTTAAAGAACCCAAGGCAGGTCTCCAGCTTTCCAGTTTTCTCATGTTTATTGTATTTAAGGGTGCTTATATTCCCAACCATGGATGACAGTCTTAAGTTTCTGCCAATCTGGTAAAACCATGCAATATAAATTTTCATTTATAGTTTATACTTCTTTAATGATAGTGAGGTTAAGCACATTGTTTTTTTAATCAATTCCACAAATGTTTATTGAGCATGTATAAGGTAAGACACTGTTTTTACTGTTGGTGATAAAGTCAGTGACAGAAAAGGTGGTGGAGATGTCAGCTCCAGGTACACTGCCAGGTGACAGAAAAGGTGGTAGAGATTTCAGCTCTAGGCACATCCCCCACTTGGGATCAAGCCAGCAACCTGGGCATGTGCCCTGACTGGGAATCAAACAGCAGTCTCCTGGATCCTAGATCGAGGCTCAACCGTTGAGCCACGCCTGCTGGGCTACATGCTGTACTTTTTTTCTCCCAGTTTGTCACTTGCATCTAGATTTGGTATTTTTTATTTATATTCTCTCTCTCTCTCTCTCTCTCTCTCTATATATATATATTTTTTTTTTGGGGGGGGTGTTATAAAAGCCTTTTTATAAAGCCATTTTTAAATAAAAGTTTACAAAAGAAAAAAGATACAGAAAAAGAATCTATATATTTTTAATATCATACTTAATTTGTTTTATAGCTTTTGGGGTATGAAATTTATTTCTTAAAAATCTTTTCAAACAAAACATACTGACTGTTGTTTTCTCTTGTTGTGAATGCCATGAGTTAGGCCTTTCAGTAGTGGTTTTCCCAGCAGCATGCTATGACAGGTTTTCATCATCTGTCTGTCTGTGTTAATACGTTTAATTGGAGACATTTCCATTGTCTTCAGTGTTTACCAAAATGTACTTGAAAAACAAAAACCCTACCCTATCACTAGGTTATAGTATGTAATTAAATCTGGAAAAGGTAATATTCCAATACTTAGAATACAGTTTCTAAAAAAAATCCTTCGTTACCTGACTCGTGAATAAGTTTCATGTAAATTAAAATTAAAGTCAAGCTCCTTGACTGTGGCTTGCTTGGTTACTTCAGTGGCGGCTTCATTTGATTTGCTGCCCAACACCCGCAGTTCAGATCTGAGACATTCTATCCCAGAGGATTTGCTCTGCGGGTCCCATTGGTGCCGACTGAACTGGTGTTGGGCTCAGGTTAACTGCCTGCTGCAGTGGGTGCTCTGTCAGCGAGACGGCAGCCACATTCAGGTTGCTGCTTTGGCTTCCTTGTGCTTTTGGCCACCAGGGGAGTTATTTGACTCTCATAAACTCACTCCATTTCTGTGAATTGACGTCTCCGTTCATGGAGGTAGACCCTGATCTGATGATGCATGTCAGGCCCCTCAGCCCGCGAACACCGGGAGATGTGGGTGGCGATTAACAGGTGTGTTTGCAGATGCCTGGTTTGGCTTTGCTCTTGGGGTCTGGACATGTTTGAGTGGTGAGTGCCCGATTCACAATAACCTTGTATGAGAAGATAAAACCACCTGGATAGTGGCCCAGATGTGTGGTAGAGTCTCACAGCTGCCTTTCTGTTTCAGGAAATGACGTTGGCCGAAGCTCCTATGGGGCCATGCAGGTGAAGCAGGTTTTTGACTACGCCTACATTGTTCTCAGTCACGCGGTGTCACCACTGGCGCGGTCCTACCCGAACAGAGATTCTGAAAGGTAACAGCAGTCATCGGCACCTCTGTAGGGCATGGTAGTTGCACTCTCATTAGCCTCTGCAAAGCTGGCGCCCCTTGCCTCTCTCATTTGCTTCCATGAAGTTCACTAATGGATGTGCCATTAGATTTTAGTAAAACTTAAAAATAACAGTAAAAGAAAACCTTTAGGAATTCAGAATGGCTGTATTTGATTCATCTGAGGTTAAGAATTGAAAATTTCTTATTTGAGGAGCTACCCCCCCCCCC